ATATTTGTGGAGACACTTAATTGAGAAGACCACTGAATAAGTACTCCCAGTGCTACAATGTGCTCATCTATATATCGCAATGATCACATTGTAAAAACATTTTCATGGCTGAATGGGTTGTGAACAGGAAAAGGGTTTCTTTTAGGCTCAATCTGATAAATGTTTTGCTTTGAACAGCTGTAGTTTTACTGCCGTTAACTGACAACATTTAAGAAGAGTTAACCCATTGAAATAATTAACATTTTACGTGAGAGGCAATCTTTCCGAGAAACTCTCCACAAAAACACGAAGAAGTGAAGATAATAAAATTGTCAACGCTTTATGAGCATATTTTTCACTCTCCAAGTGAGAGTGCCTTGATTTATGAACAGACTTGTTGTTCTTACAGATACCACTTAACAAAGGCCTTTATTTGGGAACCCTCCAAATAAGCCGAAGTTACTCAGTCTTTTCTAAACTTTTCAGTCGTGAACTGTAACATGTACCACACAGGTGATGTTACTCGTGGGTGTTTTTTCATTTGAATGAGACTCCCATAAAGACATTTCTAAGATTTACTGAAGAGGAATTTGACAGCAATATAAAAAATGTTATATTTTTGCATCAGGATCAACTGCAGATCCAGATTGCTCGACAATGGCCTTTTAACCAGAGCAACGGAGAGTGTCTGTTGATTTTTAGAATAGTTGTAGACATCTGTCCTTCTTGACATTGTGTGAATACTTTAGACTTGGGAATTGACTAAATTTGGACTTCTGCAAAGTTGCTCACACTTACTGATAGTTTAGTCAGTGCTTTAGATTGGCAGCAGTGAGGTACTGCTCCTCCTAAAACTGTCCTTAGTCTTTCCACACAAGGCTTCTAAATTTTGAGAAGTTTTTGGAATTAATAATATGACTTTTAAAAAAATGCATGACTTGACATGTAAAACTGTACTGAAATAACAGTTACAACAATCCCCAAATGGCATAATTAGTACAAACATGTTATGTTCTGATCTGTAGAACAAGTCACTGAATAAAAACACGTCACTGAATATGTGTACATGTAAGAATCCAATCAGCATAAAAACCCCTCTGTTATTTTGAGAACCTGGTTCATAGAGAAGATGGTTTTAATTTTATTTTTTAAAGCTGACGGCTGTTCTCTTGGAACAGTCACTTGATGTATACAAGTGTTTACCATTCAGAGTACTTGGATAGCTTGCTGAGACTTGTTCCAGTAACCTTTAGACCCTGTTGGGTTGTGGTAAATTGCAGCATTGCAGTTATTTGCATAGTTGGATCAGATTATTGTTATAATTAATTGCAAATGCATGTGCTTCTGTGAGTGTGTGTGTTAGAAAGAGACTAATTTACATTCAGACCGCGTTGTTTGAAATAACAAGCTGTTAGGGAGTCACTGAGGCAACATGTCTGCAAACCACAAAGTCTCAGACTGAACCCGTTCGCCGAGATAAACATATTACACACATTACCACACACGCAGACAGCCCGATTATGTTTCTGTCTCCCTTCTAACCGGTGGACCCGCTCACATGGACCACATGCCGGAGGGTCTGCTTACTGCGAGCAGGAAGAGTGTCCGTTACCACCTGGCTGGTGAGATCATCATGTTTCATAACTGCGCAGAAGCTTTAATAGGCTTATGTTGGTGACCGAACAGCACACGGATGAATATGCACAGATGTATGCTCGTGCGCACAAACACATGTTCAAAGTTGTAGAGTGGTCAGAGCTGGAGAATATATCTCCTGATTTTGAAAAAAACTAAATCTCCCTCTTTGTCTGCTTCTGTTGCCATCTCCTCTACCGTTTCCACTTATTTTTAGATTCTGTGCTCTCTCATCCTCCTCTTCTCAAGAGGACTGCAAAAAAATAGAGAAGAAGAGGAGGAGGTGGACAAGTAATTGTGAACACGATAAATGGTCTATTAACTTTGGATGAAAATGAGTTAAGGGGAACTAGCTGGTCTTATACGTTTGCCGCTGTTAATTATTAAACTTTATATATATGAGCATCAACCTGAACTGTGCGTCTCTGAGATCTTGGATTTGTGTTTTTAGTCAGTTGGTTTCCGAGGTTCACAACTGTGGAAACCAGACATAGAATTATATAAAAGATAAGGTAATGTACTGTACTGTGCATGCGGCTTAGAAAGTCTGGCTGATTTCCAGACAATTAAAATATGAGAAAGACAAAGTTTCTTTGTCTCTTTATGCAAAGATGGCTCACCTGACAGCTCTTGTTCCAGAAAGGCAAACCATGTGTCTATTTTTTTAAGTCTAAGTGATACTTCCAATCAGAAAAGATTTTAAAAAAGGTTTCTAAAGTTTTTGTGTGCACAACAAATGTGGTCTTTGTTGCTTTGCAAGATGAACATCCCAAAACTGAGACCACACAGGCACAAAATAGAAAGCTTAGTTTTTTCTATGTTTTTATTGGCTTTCAGTTTCTAGTGCAGCAACAACTCTGCTCAACTGTTCATGTGTTGCTTCACAATACATATAAACGTCATGTTTAAAGCTGCTGCAGTGTTGTGTATGTTTTCTGCTTGAGACGGGGGGAATTAGGCTCCATTGTGTTCCACTCATCTCTGTTTCAGCCACATATAATCTGTGCACATTCATATGTGGTTTAGTCTAAACGTACAAATACCTACATCCCCATGAGGGCATTCTCAGTCCATCAGAGTCACATCCATGGGAGAACTGTAATGCCACTTCAGTCAGTGGGCCGCAAAAGGGAAATGAATCATTACGAGCACAAAGAGATATGGCGTTTACTGCTTCCAGTTAGCCTCAAATAACCAGAATGCTGGGTCCGTCACAAACACATGAAGGATGTTTTGATCCCTCTCAGTGTCATCCATCGCTGATCTCTGGCTCTGGGTGTTGGAGTATAAACAGCTTAGGGGATGAAACGGCATCATGGGAACCGGGCGATGTGTGAGCAAACGGGAGACAGAGCGAACACACACTTTGAGTTGTAGTATCTCTAGCCTCAGCCCCAGATCTGGCTACGCTTTTCTAACATCCATCCATCCTGAAACACAGGCTTCCAGATCCAGTTGCGGGTCACACCTTGCCTGACATCAGAAGGTGTCTCAAATGCCTCTGTGTTATCAGGTTCTTCTTCTAGGTGTCTAATTTGGTTTTATAATGCAGCGTGGAAGCTGTCAGACTGCTCTCAAAATTAGGTTTAACTAAAAAAAAGAAAAACATCACCTGTAACTGTTAGATGTTAGGTAATAAGGTAAGGTACAGTGGTGACTGCCTTGTACTTTAATCCAAAATGAAACGTCACTCTGCAAGTGCCTTACCAACTACTGTGACCATACGATCCCATTGAGTCTGAATCTGTTCCCCTCAGTGTGATCATTGATGTTTCAGAGTATAGGATAAACAAGAATTAAGGTTGTTACAAATGGTTTAAAACCAATTCATCCATATGAATGAAGTGCCTTTGAGCTAAATATGAATGTTCTTCAATTTACTCTTTTCATTTTCCTCTAACCTCGCCCAACCCCCGACAGCCAAAGGACTTTTCTCCCCAACCCATCCTTTCAAGTCCAGGAATGTAATTTTCTTCAAGCTGCATAGACAAACCTCCCACCGCCCGAAGGTTAGATTCTCTTTCATGTTTACATCTGGGTGAGCCCTTAATCCCCCACCTCGAGAAACAGCGCACAGTCCTCAGGTCAAACTCAGCTGGCCGTCCCTCTGCCTGACTTCACCCAGTACCCGTACTGTCAGCCCAGTTCTTCTAAAACCCAGTCATCTCCCTGCTGTATTTGGTATTCGAGCTTTCAACGTGTCTTTTGCTGGCTCATAAACTGATTTGTATGGCAGGAAATCGAAAGAACTGCCAAAACCCAGTAATATAAATGCAACAGTCTTTCTGTAAAAGTCTTATAATGAGATTTTTTTTTCAAGATTGTCTTCGGATTGGGAGTCCTGAGTAAATGATGGAGCTGTGTTTCAGAGCTTAGCATAATCCTAACCTAGTTTTATCTTAAACCCTAATCAAGCCCATAGCTACAGAATTGTTGTGACACTGAATAGGGGAGAAAGTTGTGCTTAAATCTCTATAAGTTTATTTAAAAGGTCTGTTTCAATGTAAACTGAGCAACAAATACATCTGCACTTGGCAGCCTGACCCAAAAAACCTCTTGGAACAGCCAAAACCTTTGTTTAAACACTAAAAATCCAATCTGCTATGACTGTGCCTGACTCATTTTAACATCTCATCTCCATAAAAAAAAAAAAAGGAAAAAGAAGAAGAAAAAACGCCCTCACAGATTCAGATCGGCCATATGTTTCTCCAGCTTTACCAACGAAATGTTTTCCTGGCCAGACAATCTGGAGTGGAAACCGCAGTCCTCCAAACATTACTAATGCTCATACAACCATCTGTTTGAGCGGGTGTGGTCCTGGAGGTTTCAACATTTTTTTGCAAAAGGAAGGGCAAACCTTCTTCATCATCGGCCGGGAACCCTGCCTGGTGCGCATTTGTGACCTTCCCTCCAGCATCCAAATTCTGCGGAGGAACCACGTGTCCAGTTACACCCCCCTGTGAACACACATCACATGACCGAACTCTAATGCTCACATTTAAAAAAACACCCCTGCATCTCTGGCCCTATTCCCCAGTTGCAGCTCCAGTCAGAGCCGGTCCCCTGGGCTACGGCTTCACTTGTTGTCACCCTCTCCCCCAGTGCACTCTTGACCAACGCGCCCACAGCAGATGGAGAGCAAAGAAAAAAAACTGTGTCACCACCCGCCATGACTCGTCGAGTCACCCCTCCCCTTTCCTCGTCCTCCCCCTCTCTCGCTCTCATTCTCATTCTATCCTCCCTGCTCCCATGGATTTGGAGCGGCCCGACATCGATTGTCTTATTTTTAGAGCCGCTGTGGGCGCGCACACATCTGTGTAGAGTACTGTACTCCCCGAGTGAGCGCCCGTGGACCAGAAGCGCATCGAACGCCTGTCTGCGGATGCATGCTCCCGTGCGCGCATTCGCGGCCGTGTGAGGGCTCCTATTTCCAAGTTAATCCCCTGAAGAACAAGAAGAAGAGGTGTGGTTATCTCCCTGGCTCCGGACGCAGAACATCATCACATGTTTCTCTCGCCCTCCTCCTCCTCTCATCCCTCTTCTGCACTATCACCGCTGCGGTCACTAGTCTGAGGGAGCCCTCTCCCTCTCTCCCTTTCACCCTCTCTCTCTCTCAGCCTGTCATCTCTGCGTTGTCTCCCATCCGCTCGAGTCCCTGCGTTTGATGAGATATCGGGCCGAAATGGGGGAGGCTATCGAACTCAGGTGAGTCAGACTCAGAGGCCATACGAACAGGCTGCTGACATCCAACGCACACTCGAATATTCACTTTGAATTGATCTGTGAACACCCCCCCCCTTCTCCACCCTCCCCATAGATGTGTAGACTGTTGCTCACAGGTTGTATTGTTTGTTTGCAACTGGGTCTCCATTTACTGTAAGAATTCAAATCTTAGTTTTTATTATCACCTTATTTTCTATCTATCATATCTCTAAGTTAGGATGGGAGAAATCTGCAGGCTATATATAGGTCAACAAAATATCTGTGGCTGTTACAACACTGATATCTCTGTGTGATTTTTTTTTTTTTTTTCCCCCCATCTCCTAATGGTTGTGATGGCAGTGTGTTTTTGTTAGATTATTGGCCTCGGTGGCATTTTCCAACACTGCCAAACTGATAATAGCTCCAGCCTGTATCCGTAGAGCTCATAGCGGTTAATAGCCTTAGAAAGATGCATTAGACCCCGTGCCCATATGGAGGAGATTAAACCTGCTAAATTGACACCACCCAATGTTTATTTTTACAGAGTTCACGTCTGCTCGGATAAGACTGTGTTCACACATACATGCAGGCGCGGACGCTTGTCAAACATTCAAAAGTTTAGGCAACCCCCCCCACTTATGGTTGAGATATCTGTCACTAAAGGAGAAAAAGGCGTATTTAAACATGACTTATGTTTTAGTGTATTCATGTTGTTTTTTCTTTCTTGTTTTCCCCCAGTTTTGTTTACAAATCTTTAACCAATTTTGAGCTTATCTTTGAAAAAAATCTAGTATCATAATTCGAATCACATAAAAAGATGAATCTGTGGAGAATGCTGAGGCCCACTTTAGTATGGTTAATGTGTACAGTGGGGATTTTATTTCCCAGCTCTATTGTCCAGGTGTATTAGTATTAGTCAGATTTTGTTTGGAAGACTTAACATTAATTTTAAGGGGCTATTTTAGATAATTTGCAATTATTTGTATAATTTGACCTCTGAGCTTAATGTTTGGAGTTAATGTTTTTTTTAATATAGCTAAAGTTTTATTACTACTTCAAAATTAATCAGCTTTGTGTGTACATTCAACCTTTGACATTTCATTTTGTGGTGTGGGTGAAGGAGATGTTTCCCGAAGGTCAACAAACTGCATGTGGAAGATTCTCAGTACGTTAGCAGCCGTCCGTTTATATAACGCACTTCTCTTGCTTAAAGTGTTTTGGAATCTAGATGCCTTTTTGAGTGCCCTCTCCAGCTGAATAGAAGGGGTGGGTTTGCTTACATTCTCTCTCGCTTTCAGCGTTTCCTCTCTTTTTCTGGCTAATTTTCTTGTCCTGCCCTGATGATTAGATAACCGAAGAGGGCAGCTCTCCTGCGTGTTGCAAAAAGAAAAGGGAACAAGGCTCGAGAGTGAGAACGGCACTTGAGCCGTTGACCTGCGTGATTTTGTGAAATAAGGACAAATTTTAAAGACTGAAACAGGCCGGCCCACCAGGGCGGTGAAAATGACAGGAGGAGGCGTGAAAGTCAGGTGAGAGAGTCTGAAAAAAGCGAATGCTAGGAAATGTGAAATGGATAAAATATTCATTTCGTGCCTTTGTCAGCAGAACAACTGGCAGTTTATTCACGACTTGGGATCTTACTTGTCTTCCAAAACAGTTTTAAGAGTTCTTGGAAAGGGATTTAAGAGGGAGGAGAAAAAATCAGGAGAACAATGTCAAAGCAGGAGTTTTCACACAGGAAGTCTTCCAAAACTGAGCTCGCCGAGCCACATTGGGTCACTTGGCAGTCGAAGCTCAGGGGTGGGGTCGTCGCTGCCCTGAGGCATTACGGCAGCAACAATGGGCCTTTCAGTGAGGGAGCATTTGACGGTTGAGCGTATTTGATTTTGTGTTTCAAAAGTGCGTCTGCGCCTTCACAAAGGAAGTTTTAAAGGTCTAGCATCAGCAGGAGAAGAGGTGTGAGTTGCTTTTCACTCAGCTTTTTGAATTTCTACTGTCTCTGAGGTCAATTGTGACTTTGTTGTCATATTAAAGGTGTTGTATATTTGAAAAGCTGGCCTCTGGCTTGGGAACAGACCGATAGGAGGGATGACAAAGTGGGTAACATGGCACCACGACACGATGCCGGAGCATATTGACTAGACTGCTCCACTTCACGCCTGATCGCCCTCTGTTTAGATTAGCCCTCTCTACGTACACACAATATGTTTGTCACACTTGCACTCTCACACACAGGCTCGCAAACGTGAACATCCTTTCACACAGATTGAGATGTCAATTTCTTCCTCTAGCGGCAGACATAAGCACCCAGCGACAAACACACATGAAGCGAGACTGATCTGTACCCTCACTGCCTTCTGTTCCAAGGGCAGAGGAGGATTTGGATATTGTTATGTTAATCTGCCTCTCTTTTACGTCGTGGAACCAATTCAAATACACACACATTAACTACACACAGGTGTGTTGTCGGGCGTTTTAAACTTTTTATTTAAAATAAACTGATCATTTTAAAAATGCAACACACAAACCCAGCGAGCACATGTGCACGTCTGAGAGCGCACTCTGCCCCTCTCTGCATCCTCGACAGGATTTATGTAATGTCATTTGAAAATTTCCAGTCAAACCCTATTAAGCGGCAAAAAACAGAGACGCAGATCATTTTAATTGCAGGATGTTTTCTTAGACTCCCCGCTCTGCCAGGCCGACCTCGTCGCTAATCCGCTGGCTCCATCAATCGTCAACTTATTTGTCCATTTGAGCTGGTGCTTTATCGTAGCTGTGGTATAAAGTTCGACGGGATATCTGGTAGAAGCACACAGGGTTTTGCAGTTTGGAACTTTAGAAAAATTGTACTGTTTAATAAATGAGTCCTATTAAAAAGGAAGTCTTGTTGGTTCAAATATGTGATCAATCAAGACTTAAGAATGCATGTCTGGTTCTCACCAGATCTTTGACTTGGGTACATTTTACTTCAGAAACTAACATATTTTATTTTAGAAAAAATAACTTCTTTTGAATCTCCAATGACTTAATTGATTTACGCCTGAGGTTATAAGTGATACACATCACAATATAGGAATTTTGGTTAATTCTCCTTTTCGACACAGGTCAAGTTTGCTGGATCATTCATGCACAGCTTTCCATTTACGCTTTTTGATGAGTTTGAGGTATGGAATTTGTCTTGACTGCTGCAACAGTATTTAGCTTCCCTGTTGCAGTGTTTGGGATCCTGTCATCGTGACCCAGTTCAAGCTGATCTTTGGCTGTCAGACAGAATGCTTCATAATTGGCTCTATAATACTTTGGTATACAGCGGAGCTGAGAGTTGATTCAATGACTGCAAGCTGCATCCTGCTACTACCATATTTTGCAGTTGTTTTGATGCCTTTGTAAATCTTATCCATGAATAATATAGAGCGGAGCTTCCTCTCCATTCATTCCTTCTTTCCTCCCTACTTGCCTGTCCACCTTCCCAAACAAATCATATTTCGCCAATTTTAGTTAAAGGCTATCTGTGGTCTTTTCACATTTCTTCAAGAATTGCACAGTTTGACCTTGTGTGAACTCACTCCAAACGAGATTGGAGTGTTTGAAATGTTTTCTACCAGTGAATAACCTTTAGAATGATAGACCCAAACACGAATACTCAACAGTAGCAAAATGATATATCTTCTGCTTTTATAGAGCAACATTTGTTTTCTTTCATTCCTATCAAAGCAGTGAATGTGCATTTAGCTTTTTACACAATTACATTGTTCAATGAGTCACATGTTGCTCACATGAGTTAGTATTTAGTCCATTTTATACCTGGTGAAGATTAGATTTAGTTTAAGAATGCCATGTCACAAAAATACTTTGTCTCTGGTATGTTTATGAAATTGTTGCACTGTTTGGATGTAAATCCCTACATATTTTTCATTTTCCATTTATGTCCCAGAATGTCTCACCTCGGTCCCAGCCCACCCACGCTGTGGTTGTGGTTGGAGGAATTTTTTTCATAATACTTCTGTTGGAGGAAGCACCTTTTCTTTTGTGTCCACACTGTTCAAACATTACTTTTTCAAAAAGTTTCCTTTTTACTTCCTATTGCGAAGCATTTGGGAAAAGAAAAGTTTCAAGGGACTCTTTGCTATATACTTAAAAATAACACATTTTAAATGTGAGACTGATCAAAGAGAAATGGGATCATCCGGCTTGTATTCAAGCAAAGAATTTTGTGTGATTAAAAAAAAATCTGATATCTTCTTTCTGACTTAGGATTTCACTCTAAAAAAGAAAAAGCAACCACAAAGGAAAAAACAACTCTGCCGGTATGTTGTCCTTTGCGGAACTCCTTAGACTCTATTATGATGAGCTAGATTAAAAATTTATGTTTGGTTCAAAAGAGTCCTAATGTGCAACAGGAGTCCATGCTTGCCTGTAAGAGAAGGTCAAGACATGCATGGGGCCCTATTCAAAACCAATCCCGGGAATCAAACGTCTTGCAAATATTCATTTAAACCTAATTCAATCCCTATACATTGTAACTGATCTTTTCTCATGTTATGTCCCGCACAATCCAACTTTACAGGTTTAATTTAGCCTCTGGGCAAACCTTTGATCATTAACAGTAACAGGACAAACTCCAAGTTATTGTCTTCAATAAAAGATTGATAAAAACAGCAGTTTAATTTTGCCGAGCTATAACGTGGTTTTACCTCAGTTCTTTCTAAGGTGTCAACTTCAGTCATTTTCGAAAGTTGATCTGTTGAACATTGCGCGTTGGCCGCAAACTTTGTGGGATGACATGGCGTGTCCCTGTCCGTGGTTCATGGCCAGTCAATTTGTAAAGCGGAAATGAAACAGCTTATCCTGGATCAGCCAGATGAGTCACCTCTTCATCTATCTATGTGATCGTCGTCATCGTGACAGCTTCTCTTTCACGCTGCATTCTCCCTTTTGCTGTGATCAAGCCCTGAATTTCCACCCAGCCTGAGTCACACACAGGGCCATTCAATCACATT